TATTTGGCATTCCACATACAGCAGTTCGGTCTAATGATGTACCCGATCTCGTACCAACATCGAACAAAGTTTTATGTTTATGCCATATCTTTCTGGAGAAATATAATTATAGACTTTATAGTTTTATTTAGTAATTTATAACAATAACTAAATGGTATTTCCACTTATGGTTTCTGTAACTAAAGATGGAATACATTCGTTCTGTACGATTCGAAGAAATACCTCATAAGTAGCACGAATATACAACACCAATGAATGGAATACATATTATGCTCTAGTGGGGAAGACCAACAAATGTTACACTTATTTTCTCCTTCGTCAAAATGCAATTGGAGATTGTAGTGAAGGGATATAGTCGCACATAAAAAAAGAAACTATTCAAGTGAAAGGTCTATACGTTTTTCACAACTACAACATATGGAAGAAATCATCAAGAAGTCAACATATGGAATGTCTGGATCTTTTAGAATTGTAGTGTAATGGAACTCGACAAAATTAATATTCAAAGCAGGAAATAGTCCATGCTGAAATCCAATCTCTTGTTTGACTAATCAGTAGCAAACGCATGGTTAGCGTTAAGCTGTGTTTTGAAATAAAATGGAGCCACGGAGAATTAAATATTTAAATATAAGTTTTAGAACAAACCATGCAATTTGCTTATGCAAAATACTTAACTACGCGCTAGAACTTACAGACCAAGTGGTATTTAACGTAAGACTCTATTGAAGTAAAATAATGACCCTGCATTAAAAAAATGAACTCTCCTGTTTTTAGTCAGGTTTTCGAAAATGTTTTTTTTTTTCGTAGTCCTAATTTACTCAAACGAACAATATATTCGATTTTCTATATAAACATTTACTGAATATAAATAGTTTTGTGCCTATATCTTCTTACCGGGAGAAAGTCCCTTACCGCACTATTGTTCCTATTGTTTGGGCAACTGTCCTCGATTATAAACTTTATCCAGAAAAACGAAGATTACCACCTAATTGTCAATTGATTCTGTAAATGTCATTACTTTCTTGTGCAATCAGACATTACTTCAGGATCTAATATTAGCGTTCAGGTCATTTATATTTTTATATATAAATGCATATATACATTTGTGTATTTTTGAACTGATTTTAGAAAGTAGTCACGTCTTGCTATTAGATTCATATAATAATTCAGTTACTGTAAAAAAAAAAGGTTGTGAATATTAACTGAATATAGAAAAAATAAATTGAAAATTTTGCGAAAATATTGAGAAGAATGAAAATCATTTAAATTTTAATAAAACCATTTATTAAATTAAATAAATGAATCCATAAAAATCACTAAAAATTTTTCAAAAAATCAGCTTTGAAAAGCCATAACTTTTCAACTACTTAAGTACAAAGACGTAATTGATCAAATTGAAGGACATTAATAGAATTGTTTGGATGAACCGTTCCTGAGAAACTTTATCGATTAATGACATTTTCAAATATACGACTTTTTGACATCTTTTAAAACGGTAAATGTTCAAAATAAACACTAACTCTTCATTATATCCAGAGATACGTTGGTACAATTGCTATACAGGTCAGTTTTATCCTCGAGGTAAAAGGTGTCACTGAACTTGCTATTAAAACCTCTTCAGTTGAAGACGACATACTGGCACTCACTGAATACTTTTTGTTCTGTTAGGATCTATTGAATCACAAAAGATTTCTTAGAGTCGCGCAGTTATCTGTTTTGTTATATGCGTATATCCCGGCTCCCAGCGTTAGTGTGAACCGGACCTTATTGCGGAATAGTTAAGTTCAATGAAATTAGTTATGAACATAAGCCCGATAAAATTTGGGTTAAATGTTTAGTTAATAAAAATTAGAAAGAAGATATTTTATGATTTTGCAAAAAAAATTCTTTTTTATTTATACTTAATATTTTTAATTATTATTTTTGTTTTTTCATAGTTGTTGTAACGCTCATTTATACATTTAATTGCGTTTCTTTTCATATCTCAAACTTTGCTTAGTAAAATTTGTTTTAATTAAATAATTACTTTTTTTTATTGATTTTTAGTTGCTCATACAATTATTACAATAGTTTAAAATTATTTATATAGATTTTTTTTTATTGGTTTGTTGTTAATTAAGATAAAGAAGTTATTTAACAAGGAAATAACTCAGTAGTTGCTTAGTAAATAATACGTTTACTAGTTAGATTTTAGAGTTAGTTGATTATAAAGTAAGTTACATTAAGTTTCATTAATATTTAAATAAATATTTTTATAATAAATGGAAATTGCTTAATATTGGATTTGATGATTTTAGTTTGTTGCAAACTTTGTGTTTAGTAAGGTTACGGTTTCGAAACTTCATTTAAATAAGTTTTCTTTATATTGAAGGTTACAATTAGGTATATATTTTTTTCTATAATCATAATTACAAAAAGAAATCAAATTATTTAAGCTGCCATTAAAATATTTTGGCTCATTGCTTCTTATTACACTTAAATTGGAAACCCATTAGTATAAAATTTACTTAAATATTTTTTTGTTTTTTTTTTTTTTTGCTACTTATTATTAGTACAAAGGTTGGCATAGGCCAAAACCTGATAGGTGTAATTTTACTTAAAAGCTTACAGTTTTTATATTTTTTGTATATGAAGTCATTTATATGGTAAATTAAAAATAAATTTCAATCTAAGAGAGAAGAGTTTAGCAATTAATCCAAATTTATTTATTTGTTACACAGCAAAACCAAAAATCTTATAATTGCTACGTAAAAGTTTTAAATTTTTGTTACCAGTAATGCTTCAATATTAATGCTTCGGACATTACCATACATATTTGAGCGACTCAAGCATATTTGAGCAGCTCAAACATATTTGAGCAGCTCAAACATATTTGAGCAGCTCAAACATATTTGAGCAGCTCAAACATATTTGAGCAGCTCAAACATATTTGAGCAGCTCAAACATATTTGAGCGACTCAAGCATATTTGAGCAGCTCAAACATATTTGAGCGACTCAAGCATATTTGAGCGACTCAAGCATATTTGAGCAGCTCAAACATATTTGAGCGACTCAAGCATATTTGAGAAACTCAAACATATTTGAGCACCTCAAACATATTTGAGAAACTCAAACATATTTGAGCAGCTCAAACATATTTGAGAAACTCAAACAAATTTGAGCAGCTCAAACATTATTTGCGTTAACTAATCATGTTTGATCTGATTACTCAAATATATCTGAAATACTCGAAGACGTTTGAGCTAATTAAAAATATTTGAGCTACTTGGGGATATTTCAGTTACTCAAAGATGTAAGAGCTACTTGACAATGATTACGATATTCACAGATGTCCCTTGCGTATCGCTTGAAGAGTCTCAAGTATGAATAACAACTCGAATGCAATATGATGTCTGAAATGGTTTGGATAGCTCAAATATTCGAAAATTGAAATGCTCAACCAAAATAATATATGAAATATTATTCGGTTTCTACACTGAATAGACATTGGTGAAGGTTTTTATTTTGGAACGTAACTACGGATTACGTCTGATTCTTGGACTGCTAACAAAAACTTGTAGTGTTAGTGAAATATTGTGAGTGTATGTAAAAATCTTGTTAAAATCTCTCCAGTGTATTAGGACCGAATTGGATTAATTTGTGTAGATAAGCTTAACTCTTCTTCTTTACTATTATATGTATAATTTCGTACATAATTCAAAGACTTCTTTCAACTTCTTATCAACATAGTATTAAATAATTATTTCCTTTGAAAATTATTAATTTACATTGATTATAATTTTTAAAAATAAATTTTTTATATATATTAGTTTGCCACACAATTTGTCGTTAACATTATTTAATTTAGCAAAGAAAAAAATTTGGCAAATATTTGTTTTCGTATATCGCTTAATTATATTTATGATATTAAATAATAAATAAGGCTAAATTCATTTAGTATATGTAAAGCATTATTATACTAGGCTGTTGCAGTTACAGGTCAATTACCCATAAGCAATAAAATTATATTATTGTTATACTAAAATTATATATATTTAGTTATGTGTATACGTATAAAAAAAAAGCAAAACAAATACATTTACAAAAATGCATACTTAATAATAATATATTTTCAATTAAACAACTTATTTGGATGCTGTATCTTTTCTTAACGTCTTTAAACAACACTAATATTTAAAATTTAGTAATAAATCTTTTTTAAAGCGCACAATCAAATAGCTAAAATCAATGTTCACATATATATATATGTATACATATTTATATATATATATTTTAGTGTATAATTGTAGTTTAATTAATGATTTTAGCTACTGTCTCCTAACTGCATACATTTCACATTCAGCAAATATTAATGAGAAAAAAAATTGTCATTATAAAAATTTAATTGTTAATTATATATAGAAAAAAATTTAAACTAACATTTAACAAATTTTAAGTATTGAAACTTAACACTTAACATTCAAAAAATAGATGACAAAATTACATTCTAATATATATAAATATATATAGATATGTGTATGTAACGCAAAAAAAATTATGTTAGTCCCCCCAAAACCCCAATTAATAAAATTTGATTTACTTAAGAGCTAATTTGAAAAGCATATAGAGCAAAAAAACATTTAGAATGCGTAACTTTGAAAGAAAAACTTTAAATTATAAAATGCCACATAAATCACTAACAAAATAATTTAATAAGAGAAAGGCTTTTTCTTTACAAATAATTTAATAGGCGTGCATTGTGTCATGACGCCCTACATCCGTTGCGGCATTCCAATATCATTACATCGTTAACATACCCATGAAAAAAACTATCCATTATAACATTTCACATCACCAACCTTTCACAAGCACTCCACATTTGTATATATGCTAATCAAATATCATTACCAATTTTTATTTAATTATAATCATAATTATATTAAAATTATTTATTACTTATATTCATAAAATTATTGTAGATAATTAATATAATTAATATTTTTTTTAATTACTTTAATATTATTTTGTATATTTTGAATTTTGAAAAATTTAATTTAAAAAGCTAATTTCTAACTACTACAAAACTAGGAGTTATTCTCACAGTCATCGGGTTTGTGCTTCATGCGGAAATTACTCAATAAATCGGCGCAATTATTCACCATCATTAGATAGTCGCCATTGTCTAGATTAACCTGTTCGGTACTGCTATAATTGTGGTTATGTTGTGAGCTGGTTTTATCGTTTCTGTAAATAAGAAAATAATATATATTAATAGATATATAATATAGGTCTCTACAGCTTTAGAGATCTGTAGAGGTTGAGAAAACTGTATATCAGTCAATCACAATATGTCACCATTAGAAAATTAAAAATCTTTGGGATAGATTGGTTGTTTTCCAATTTTTTAAACTTTGAAATGAGCGCTGTATTTTCGCTAATAATTTTAGTATTCTATTGTTTATGGTCAAATCTGGAGTACGAACAATATATATCCCTCACATTACAAGGGGTTGTGCAAGGAGATGTGCCTCTTCTAAACAATATAATCAGTTTAACATAATTTAATATCTTTTTAATGTTTTTTAATAATTAATTTTTTTAATCGTTAATTGTTTAACTTAAAATTTATGAAATTTCCTCTTATGATGCAACAATGAAAGATCCTCATCTGCTAGCATCATCTCAAAAGTGTATTTGATGCTATACTGATACATCACAAGATTGTAATATATATAATGAATACATCATATTATATTCGTGGAGATATTATATAATATGTCATTCCAATTGTTACCAATATAGAAAGAAGAATATCTCAAAGCTTATAAACACCGATTTTTATGTGATGTTAACTATAATGCATCAGGGTTTTGCTTATCCTCCTTTCTCTCCATTTTCTCCCTTGCACTACACCAAACGCCACCCATACACATCCCCACTCATGAATTTTTCTTGTAATCCATGTTATCTGCTTTTCAGATCCCTGCAGGCTACAATAACAACAGGTTTTTGCTTAATAATGATGGCTTAAAAGAATTACTGTATTAGACCTCATGGAAAACTAGAAAGAGTATTTGTCTTTAATATACTTTTTATAAAAAATGAATTCAAATATATTACTTTATTCTTACAATCAATTAATTCAATGAAATGGCCTAATAGTATATCTTTTATAGTTGTATACTAATTGTAATTAAAAATTTCCCTATCTCAGTGCTCTATACATTTTCTTAAACTTCTTTTGAGATTTCATTTCTATAATTACATCATAACACCTCAATTATTATGCTCAAAACCAGTAGTTGGATGTGTCTTTTATATTATTCAGTGTTCTAATTTTTGACATGACCGAAGTAATATGTATCTGACGGAAAAGAGCCAGAGGGGCATGTTGTCGTCTCTGTTATTCAACTCTATTTATTGGAACTCTATTGGAATTATTATATATTAAATTGTAAAGACTTGATTTATAGACTTGACCCATATGTTAAAATGAATGATACCCTAAGTCCTTTAATAATTACTCAATAAAGAAATTATTAAAATTTTTAAAGCGATGAGCCTGATCTATGAACAGTAATAGAAAGAACAGATCTTTTCCGATTAGCGAATAGCCAAATGTATATTTATTTTGGCAAGAAATAAGATAAGCATGGACAGCCAAAAATTTGATTCGTTAAAAATAATAATAAAAAATTTTTGTTGTTGCAATTTCTCTACTGTTCCATAAAAATCTCTTTATTGACAAATATACCATAATTCATATTAAGTCTCATTCGTCAAAACGAATATTAAAAATCGATTTAAAAAGATAAACAAATAAATACATAAGATATATATATATATGTATAAAATATATAAAATAAATCAATAAGAGCAGTAGGAAAGGAAAGGAAATCTTTCAGAATTTTATTCTCAAAGCTTAAAATCTTTTTGTAAAATGATATATGTAGATCATCCTGCTATGGAAACTTGGACTCTAAAAAGCAAATAAGCCCAAATCTTTTAAATTATAAAAAATTTGAAAAGTCAAGAAGAAACCATGTCATGAACAATAAAGTTCAATAAAGAAAAATCTATGATTGAATATTGCTAACAATTGTAAATAAATAACTCCGATTATCAACTAAAAAGAAGAGCTATATGGGGTAACCATGTTATGTATAACCGCTTTAGTTAATATATAAACTCGTCTATATGCTGTACTTTACTTACTTATTTTGTGTTATATTTGTTAACATGTTTTGTGTCATGATCACAGCGTTCTCCAATTCTTTCAGCATCAATGAATCTTCACCATTTTTCAAGTTGGCATGTAGCTGCATAACTGTTTTAGTTGTTGTATATAAGTCATTAATAACATTATGCACTTGGAATTTAGCTAAGAAAAAAAGAAAGATATATATAGTATATTGAATATTTATTTTAAAATGAGTTACTTACGATCATTGCAATCAATTTCTCTAAACTCAGGTGATTCGAATACGCCTCGTGTCTTTGTTGCATTTGAAGAATTAGTAATTTTGGACTTATGATCAAATACCAAATTACGTGGGCGTGGTGGCACAATTGGTTTACTGCTCGATGAACCAAGTTGGGTTTCTTCCGAGCTGGAATCGTCTTGTGGCACAGCTATAATGGGGAGATAACAGTTAATATGAATACAAATTAATATATTGGGGAAAAAAAAGTTTCTTCTAAAGATTTTAAACTTACCATTGCTAAAACTGGTCTGCAGTCCCTTTCGCCGATTGTTGTTTGTATTGGAAGTTTTGTTTCCATACTGGCGAATGGCAGCTAAAGTGTCAAGAAATCATAAATTAAAAAATGCATTTCAGAATTTGAAAATTAAAAAAAGTCATATCTGCTTAATTAATTTAATTTTAAATTTAATTAATTATTTAATGTTATTTTTTTTTGCTAAAAGTAAAGCATCTTATAACGATAAGAAATTATTTAGAGCATTCGCAGGGTTCTATAGCACAGCAAGGGTTTTTTAAAAAATAAATTGACAAAAAGTTTAAAACTTAAGCATCGATAGTTTGCGCAGCCGTGACTACTTATGGAAAAACACGACAAGTCATCCTTTCTAATATGACAGGTACGAGTTCTAAGCCTGACACTTGCAGTCCAAATAAATTATATACGAACGATAAATTATTTTATAAAAAATAAAAAATTATATACTAAGACCACTGATGATGGGAACTTGACAATACTCGAAACAGTGTTGTGTGGTCAGCCAAATTTCAATAAATTAATTAAAATTTTTGTTGTTGTTTTTTCATTTCTTTTCATTATACTCTAAGACAGCGCTATCCAAGTTATTCTTTCGTTTCCTTATCTATTTGGCAATGTGACCACTGCCAGCTTTTGGAATAATTTCTAGCGTATAACCTATATTGTGTTAAGTTTCTTATTGGACTATAAGGCAGTAATTCAATTGCAGTTGCTACTAAATGAACACTATATACTCGGTACAGATTTAACATTCCAGTTTCAAAAGTGTGGTACTAAACTTTTTAGTTGAATATCAAAAATATGCTCTATTTTAATTGGGAAATTTGATTATATTTGATTTTATTTTGTTGTTTCATTTATTGTAATTAATGTATTTTATTTTGTTTAAATGTTATTAAATAATCTTATTTTTATAAGATTTTAATTTTTAATTAATAATTATTATTTTGTTGTTTATTTTTTGATATGTTATTTTCATAAATTATTTTTATTTATTATTAATTTTGATTTTTAGATTTTCTTCTTATTATTATACATTATTTTATTATTTTATTTTTCAATATGTTAAATTATATTTATTTACCAGTTGGACCATTTGTTCTGCCCTGATTGGCACCTAAAGAACGTCCTCGTACTGCATCTTCAGTTTCAGAATCACTCTGAAAAAAACAAATCAAAATTTATAAAAAATTTATATTTTGTAGTTAATTTCAGAATATTTCATTTAAAAAAGTTTTCTTCTATCAGGCATCATTTTTTTGTAGGTCGAAGGTTGATCATAGATTGATATTAAACAGTTACTGATAATAAAAAAATTCGTTCGCGAGGCAATAAAATTTTAAAAATTTTTGTAAAAAAGTAAGTTTTTCCGGAAAAATAATTGAACATTTTTCAATTATTTGAAATTTAATTGAATAATATTTTTTTTCAAAAATAATTGAAAAAAAAACCTGAACTAAGGATTCGCTTTTCTATTCAACTCTTCTATAATACTAAGCGAGTTGGACGTGTAAGTTTATCACTTACCGCTTGATTTAGCACACCCATTGATGTACTTGGAGCGCCAAGAGTGCTAGTGGAACCTTTCAATTGTAAACTATTCCTTTTCGTCGTTGAACGTGAAGCAGAGCTATTTCGATACGTGACACTAGGTTTCTGCAAAGTATTATTATTGGGTTTCCCTATATGAAGTATAGAAAAAGATATTAGCAAAATTAAATAAACCTTATATATAAGAAAACATTTACCTTTACCCATATTACCCATATGCAGGTCACTGAGTGAGCAAGCGCGTCTAATAGACGATTCTTCAATTGGCATGGGCAGCAAACTTTTTAGATTACCTACAAATAAAAAAGAAACAAAACATTTAGAGACTACTATAATGTGAAATCCCGAAGATATGGAGCTATAAAAATATGATATAAATAAAAGTTGATAAAAAGGATATTATAAAGAACATATTTGAAATTAAATCTTAAAATAAATAAAGATAATCATAAAAAACTTAATAGATTTTTTGACATCCAAACAGTAATGAACACTGGAAATATATATGGCACTTATATATTTACCAATGTTTGGGCGGTGTGCGTGTGTGTGTTTGTGTTGCTTATATGACATGACGATTTGTGTAAATTCAAATAAACTTATATTTCATAATAAGAACTTAAACACCACTCCTAGTGCAACAAAATCATTTTGGGTAGAACTTAAGATAACAACAATAACAACAATAAATATAAATGATGAAAAATCGTGTCAACAACATAAGTGCAACAGAAAAGAAAAACATCAAATCCATTTAATCAAACCTTGATCCTTTTCATCGCAGTCAATGCGAATCTTTTCGCTATCATGTTCTATTGTTAGCTCTTCAGCTATGTCGACGTCGGCATCAATGTCCGAATCGGCTTTAACTTCTCGGGCTAACTCAACGTCATCTGCAGCAGCCTGTGCGGCTTTAACGAACAGACATGCGTGCAAATCTGTGCTTTCCAAAACATCCGGTAAACTGACATTTCGTTTCATGTGTCGTGCATAGGCGCACAAGTCTGCGTCTGAATTATCCGCCCGTATGCGTCTTTGCTCGTTTTCAATATCTTTTTCAATACCTTTGGCGAGCATATCAAAATTCATTGTCAAACTCTTCACATAACCCTTCTGTTTGGAGTTGCACTCGAATGGACGCATACGTGACTCGGTGGCCATACGTATTTGCTCCAGTTTACGTTCTTCCATTTCGATAAGTTTCTGTATGATGTCGATTTTCTGTGCGATATTTTTGCATTGATTGGAGGTCGAGGTATCGGTGGATTGTGTTTTCTCTTCATTGGCCAAATTCTTCTTGTGCTTCGTATTGCGTGCACGTTCATGCTGTATTTCATCAACAACTGCTTGCAGCTCCGGCTTCGTATAGAGCTTTAGACTGTCCATATTCATATTTTCATGTTCGTTGCCGTTTTCCGCAATGTACATTTCAAAGGTCCTTTCGCCGTAATCGCTTGGCAGGCTCTCAGCCACAACAGAGATGGGCGATGTTAGATTTCGATTTATATCGTTCAGTGGACAAGTTGTGGTGGACGAATAACCGGATGCCCCGCTGCTACATGATGACGAACGTTTCTCGCTGGGTGTGTATTTTATTTGAGAGACGGTATTGAAACGGACTGAAATTTTGGGTCGAGCACGCGTACGCATGCTAGTGGCACGTCGAGATGCTGCTGTAGTACTTTTATCGGTGTTATCAAATTTCGACACCTTTTTAAGGCAACTGTGTGTAGTCAGTGCACCACTACTGACAGATGGACGCATACCGCCTTTCTTAACGTGCAATTCAGCTTGTTTTTCTCGTTCGAATTTCTGTAAATTTTGCTCGAACTTTCGCACAACACTTGCGGTACGTGAACTGCATTGACCGTCTGATGCAGACATACCAAATGAACAGGACTTTTTGAGAGACTCTTTTGTGGTTTCCACAGTGGAAGTAAGTGTTGAAACTAAATTTTGTGGTTTGGCTGGTATCGGTGGCTTTGATTTGATAACCTTTTTGGCAAAAAGCATATCTTCGTATGCAGTTCTATCGGTTTTCATAGGATTGGAGTTGCGGTGTTGGCGTTGTTGTGCGAAATCCTGACTAAGACTCTTATTAACACCAGAACTGTATTGTTTGTTCTTAGTGCTAAGTGTTGGAATATCTTCGGTTTGTGTTTGCTTTGCACTAGATTTCGGTGCTATTTTGGGATATGTTTTGGAGGTTGGTAGTGGTTTTAGTGTGCCACCTGAAATTGCTTTACTGCGTAAATTTTCATTAGTTGTTGGATTTAAATGGTCCAAATTATAACTGGACATGTCAAAACTTTCATATGGTGGCGTGGAAGTTTGATAGTTGCGTTGTTGCATATAATAATCAAAACTACTATAGGCATTTGGACTGGAGCCATATGATTTCGATACAAGCTGTGTTGCAGCTGCAGGGCCATGCAGAATGAAATTACGTATGCCTGCATGCCGTTGCATTTGTTTGTCGACTATCATTTCTAATGGAGCACTCTTACAGTCACTTTCATCTGATAATATGCTCTCCATGCTATTACAGTAACTACCATCGTCAAGAAATTCTTCAGATAATAGAGATTCTTGACTTTTACGTTCAGGGTATTGTGAGGTAAGAAAGAAACTGGCACTTGAATGTCGTTGTGTCTCAAGAAATCTTGCTTCTTCTAAACGTCGAGCTTCTGCATTGGTCTCGGGATTATCATTTAATATATCTGATAAAGAGACATTACGATGACATTGATAAAATTCCTGATATATGTAATACTCCGATACGGCGCGTTTAGGTATTGCACCCATATCGGCTTGAGATGCGTAGACTGATGAGTAACGGTTATTGTCTTTCGTAGCAGGCATTGGGAGCAAAGCTGCTCTATTAGCAAAAGAAGGTTGTGACAAATTTGCAGGTACTGAATGTGAAGCTACAATTTGTGGATGTCGGGGTGCAGATTGGCCATCATAAACATCTACACCAATATCATCCAGATCACCATATTTGCGTGTGATTTCTTCGATCATTTTTTCGGTATCAGCATGTATCATGTCTAGTATAGTGCGCGCATCTTCAGCATAGACCGAATGTCGCTTCGGTTCAGTAATAATGATGCTTTTGTTATCTGCTGACCATTCAACTTCTTCATGCACTGGAGAGACAGGGCATGATTTATAATGCTTGAGTATGCTAGGTGTTCGGCGCGAGTTCCCAGCAGGATTACGTTTAACGGCTCGCTGGTTATTAGCCGGTAAAGTGGAACTATTAAAAGGCGTTGATCTGCTGTTGGCTGCTGTTTGATTGGAGCGTACAGTACTTGGCGGCATAAAGGGGACACCCGGCGGCGGATGGATTTGATGCACGCCTACATGATGTGGATAAGGTGGATAGTGTTGTTGTACTTGACGCATAGCTTGACAATTTTGTTGTAGCACCGATTTTGGTGCTGCACAATTGAAAAAGTGCTGTTGTGGAACTGTTGTTTGTTGCGGATAATAAGGCTGTTGTTGAGGTTGTTGATGGGCGTAATATGATTGTTGTTGATATTGAGGTTGTGCGTAAGGATTTGGCGTAGATAAAGGCGATAGGCTTTGTTGCTGATATGGACTAGAATACTGTTCATTGGAAGGAGCTTTTAATTAGTAATAGTTTCGAATTTATTTGTCATATAAAGGTAATTGGTAATATTTTATTATAATATTTTTACGAATTTTTAAATATTCATCAGGTATGCAAATAATTAGAGAGTAAGAAGAAGGCAAAAGAGAAGAAAAGTGAGAAATTTGTATATATTTTATTAGTTTTGAATAATAAAAAATACTTTTTAAAAAATTAATCATACAACTTATACTATAAATATCTTTATTATACTTAAGTGACATAGTCTAGTCAGGGTATATAGTTACGATATATTAAACACTGAAAACTCTCTTAAGCAAACACTGACGCAATTAACAATTCTGTCGGATTAAGACAACTGTCTCTTTAAAGGAGCGTACTTTATATATATATAAAAAAAATTGGGACCTGCGAATTGCGCAAAGCAAAGAGATGTCTATTTAACAGAGCTTTCACTGTAATTGATTTATTAAAAAAATTTATACATAAGATTTTATATTTCTATGGCTTGATTTTTCCTAATTTAAAGTTTATTTTAATGTTGTCATAAATATCTAATTGAGCAGAAGACTTAAATTAGCTAACAAACTATTCTACAAAATTTATTATTTTTGAAATATAAATACTATAAAATAATACATATTTATAGAATATATGTATATATTATATTGATAAATATAAATAATAATTATCAATATAACATTTATTTTGAATTTGATTTACAATTTTGTTATACACTTTTTAAATTAACTGAATTTTATATATTTATAAAATTTTAGTTACTGTTAAATTAAATTAAAATTTTTTTTATTATTGTTCTTACCTGTTTTTGCATAACGACTAGTAGCTGCTGCTGATCTTGACCCATCCAAATTACCGGCTAAACTTAAATCTGATATGCTGTGACTGCCACGTAGTGAGCGATAGCCAACCTAAAATAGTACAAAATATATTATAGTAAAAAGATTCTTAATTATTATATTAATAAATATGAAATAAAAAAAAACAAATGAAATTAATATAATTTGTTAGTAATTAAAATGAATGAAGTATGAATTATTAGTTTAATGCTTAATTCTGAATTAAAAAGTTAAGCGCCTCAAAAATTCAAATATTAAAAATTATTTTAAATTATATATAATAATTAGTTAAACAATATTGTTAAAACATTCATTAGAATTAAAAGTGAGATAAAAATATTTACAAATTATACAGCATTTCGGAAAGCTAATAAATTTTTATAATTAATATTTTAAATAATTATTTATTAAAATTTTAATACATAATTAAAATTTAATCATTTAAAAAAAATTTTAATAATTAAAATAATTAATTTAAATGTATATAAAGCATTTTTTAGTTAAATAAAAATAATAATATTATAATTTTCAAATTTAATATATTTATATATTAACAATTATATATATACACATATATATATTATATTATATATATTATATATACACATATATATATTATATTATATACATATAATCGGACTAGAATTTTTAAACTTTAAAAAAATATGCTAAACATTTTTTTTTTTGGTTTAATTAGTACTTAACATACTTATTTATCTAAATTATAATAAAATATATACAATAAATTATATAAATATTTATAATATAATATTATTATGTTCATTTTAATATAATATTATTATATTCTTGTTAATATAATATTATTATATTATATTAACATGAACATTATATATTTTAATATAATACTATTATATTCATGTTAATATAATATAACATATAACATATATAACATATAATAATATAATATAATATAAAATATAATATTATTATATTTATTTTAATATAATATTGTTATATTCATGTTAATATATTAATATATTTATTTTAATATAATATTATTATATTCATGTTAATATAATATTATTTTCATGCTAATATAATATTATTATATTCAAGTTAATATAATATTATTATATTTATGTTAATATTATTATTATAGTATTATATCATCCATATTACATTATGTATAATAATGTTAGTATGTGGTATATAATAAAATAATATTGAAACCATCTAAAAAAATAAAATATACAAATTGATTACTATTTAATATATAAAATAAAATAAATTATAACAATATAATTTATATATAGCGTTATTAAGTAAATATAATTAATCGAATAATTTAAAAATATCGGATATTTATTATTAGATTAATTATTAAAAAGAAAATAATGAGCTAAATGAATATAAGTATATTAAATTGTAAATGCATTTATTAAGCTAAAAAAACTGAATAACAAAAATTAAAAAAATATATATATAAAAAAAAAAAGAAAAAATAATTAAAAAATAAAATTAGTTTGAGAAATACGCCGTTTAATAAACAATTTAAAGCCACGTAGGAAGCTTTGTAAGATGAGATTACATTTTGTGAGCTCCTGGTTAAGTATGTAGTCGCAAATTATAGGAGTAAATTTTTAAAACGACTGAATGTTTTTTTTATAGAGTTTTTGTAAATTCTCACCTCGGGTATAGCATTTAACTTTTTAATTCCGTTCAAACGTGTGCCCTAAAGAAACGGAAACGTGGCGAACACAAAACCCAAAATAAAAAATATAATAAAAAAAATATTTAAAATAAAAACATAAAATAAAACATTGTACAGAAACAAAACGAAAATCAATAATAAAATAAATATTAACGGAATATATATAATATAATAATATAAATATTAATACATTAATTTTGTAACATATTTTGTATATTTACGTTTTCTAGTTTTTGTTTAGCTTCGTTAATAACTTTAAGAAGTTCCTCTTTCTTTGTGCTGGTGTAAGATTTCGTTATTGTCGGAGGTGCTGAGACGCCTTTGCCATTTTCTGTATTATGTTTGGCACTAATGCTACGACGATCTGGAAATTCGATATTTACGATTTTTACATATAGTCATCATATGGAAAATTTGAAAAAGTAACTGAAAGTAATAAAACTTACTGGTACTACCACGTTCTAAAACAATGCCAGGTCCATCCGGTAATGCAGCTTGCAGAAAGCTGCTTGTTGTTTGTGGTATACTCTCCGAGCTACCACCCAGTGTGGAGGCTAACGAACGTTCGGCATTTTCCGCACTTGGTGTGGAGCCTTCATCTTCTGTATCTGAGGTGCCAGTACCAGTACCAGTGCTAGCTGTGTGAGAGCTACCATTTCCACTGATCGTTAGGCCTGCTTTTTCAAATTTCTGCCTTCGCACTGATTTCCGTAATTCCTCTTCATTCATAGCAGTTACTTTAAAGTCACTAAGGACAAAAAAATAAAAATATTAAAAATGAAGACAGACATATTCCCTATAGCATATTGTAATGTATATTTACGTAGGTGTGCTAGGTGCTATATTGTTGTAGAACATGCCATGATCAGAACTTGTGCGTTCTCCGTCAGATATGTCTTCGATATCGCCATCGTGGTCATTGGATTGCACATCAAAACTTAAGCCGGATTTCCGCTTATCCGGCAGCAGTCTTGTCATAGCGCCGTTGTTAATTGTGGTTGGATTTAGTGTGCCGTTATTATTGCTGCCAATAAACTTAAGCTCGCGACGAGTCTCCATGCCCGAGTCAATGGAGGAGTCTTCGCTTAAATAAGTTTGATTGTACATTATGTCCTTTGAGGAAGCACTATTATAGTCCGATGTCTGTGTATTACCTAAACCGCTAACAGTACTAACACCACCTGTAGAAGACGCGGTACCTAATGGGCTTTCTGAATTTGAACGTAAATCGGTAAGTGCATCTGGATCGATTTGTCCACGCTGTGCCCAGCGTCCACGTGCACGCGGTACACCACCTAAACCTGTTTGACTAGGAGATGAGCTTAAATTTGATATGGAAGAAGCATTCACTAGAGTGGAAGATGTAGTAGTTGGTATGGCGATACCTATACTATTGGTATTGCCATTGTCTTGTTCATTTGCAGCAGCTGTCTTTCGTTTTGCCCATTGTGGTAATTGTCCTACATCAGATAGTTTGTAACCTGGCGTTAATGGTGTTTCATCAGCAAACAAATTAGGCGATACTGAGTACTTTTGTGTCATTGCTAATTGCTCAAATTCATGTGTAGGTGATTCAACTATTACACCCTCAAGTGGCGTAACGACAGACACTGAACGTGGTATAGGTGCGTGTCCAGAACGCAGACGTTGCTGAGAGAGGCGTGCTTGCATTGTAACAATCATATCATGTGGCACTTGCCAAATAAATATACAACCGTCACCGCTTGCAGATATTAAATGACGACAATCGTTGGTAAATTTAAGGCCTGTTACTAGTTCGCTATGACCGTACATACGTGCCATGCATTCATTGGAATAGTAATCGTATACAGCAAGCGTTTTGTCAGTACACGATGTGGCGACATAAATGCCACTCGGATCAAGACTCAATTTAATAAGACTGCCCTCGTCTGAATGTGAACCTTTAAATGTCTTTGTATGCTTGGTGTTCTGTGTGCCATAAACACGTACGTTCCGATCTTGACAAGCCGTGAGTATGTGTTTAGAATTTGAATCCACTTCCATGTCATACAGAGTAGTTTTGCCAGATGTGTGCGTGCCACGTAAAAATATGTTACCCTGCAAATTAAAATTTTTTTTTTTATAAAAATGATTAAATATTTATAAACACTGACTCACTAACCTGAAATGTTCTGAACATTATTGACTTATCTGCGCCGCAAGATATCATTTGAAAACTTAAACCAGCACCAACAAATTTAATGGACGTTATGGATGAGGAGTGATCGTCGAGCGTTTGTAGCAGCAAGTAATCCTGAGAAACGTCAAAAACATGTATAAGTCGGTCACGACTTGCGCTGGCTAATAACTTTCTTTCGATTTTGTCATTCGAGTACTCCAAACATAAAACTTCCGATTCGTGCGCTTCAATCGTAGTAATAAGTTTCAAGTTAGCCAAGTTGTAGATACGTATGTTACCGCTACGATCACCACTCGCTAAATGCTGTAGCTCTGGGCTTATTTTAATGCAACGCACACCATTCCGTCCATCATATGTTTCGCCCATAGCCTCTTGATCCTTAATAAAATTAAGCTCGTCATCAATGTAGACGACTTTGAGGAGTTCTTGAGAATATATATTTTTACGATAGATTTCGTTGTTGGTACAGCCATCTAAACCCCACACTCGTATGGTATCATCCGAAGAGCATGTCACAAAGCAATCCTCGGGTAGTGTATGTGACATGTCGCGCTCTATATTATATGGCACTGTTTCCACGCCCCAAATGCACGTGGAATGATAAAGAAAGGAGTGCGATTTACCGAAGCGCTTCATATCTCGCATATCCCATATATAAAGCGAGTGGTCGTTGTAGACACAGCTGACCTGTAAGATATTTTAAATAAATTAATTTCTGAATTTTTGTTTTAAGCAATTTGGAATACTTACTTTTGAACGATGCTCATCGTAAACCATTGCAATGCAATCTGGATATTTTGCATGCGGCGGCACTGATGTTATGTGACTGATATGTATACCTTGTGCAACATCCACGCCCAGGTAATGTGTGCGTGGCAGTGTGGTCACATATTCCAATGTGATAGCATTGAAAACTCGTATGATGGATTCAGCACAACCGACGAGTATAAAGTTTCTATTAACGCATATGCAATTGGCGCTTGTGGTACGACATTGCACCCACTTATCAGCTAAACGACGCGAACTAAACTCAACTAGATGCCCCTGCCTTGTAATGGCATAGGTACTATTCTTACATTCACCACGACCACAGGCAACAGCACAGAAATCATTATCGCGCAAATCACCCAATATGGCACTGCGACCCATCAGCGGTATAGGATCTTTATACTAGAAAATAAAAAAAAGTACATTATTAGATTATTAATTTCTTTGACTTTATAATTATTGCTTACGCCTACTTTCCGACCACCTTCTAGGTACCAAAATTTTACATGACGATTGCCCACAGTTACAAAATATGTGCCATCCTCTGCAAAGCTGACAGCTGACACTTTAGAGCTGATTTTATTCGATGCCATTTTCAAGTTCGATTTCCAATCGAAAACATTTACTATCATGTCATGTTGTGAGCCCACAGATACCAGGTACTTGCCAGTTGGGGAAAATGCCTAAAAGAATAAATATTTAAAATTCACTTTCAATTGCACCAGAAGCTTTTATAAGTGTATAATTTGTGATTTCTCACATTATATTAATTTTTCTTTCGTGAACTTACCACGCATGTCACTGCGTATTTGTGATCCACAAATTCCGCTACTACATTGCCTCCGGTAGTTTGTTCTAAATTTCCATTTGGTGATTCGAGTTCCCATACTTTAATAGCTGGATTAATGCCACACTCACCTGTGGCAATATAACGACCGCAGCGTGAAAATGCAACGGAAGTAAAGGCTTTGCGGGACGTGTTCACTAAATAGGCTTGGGTTTGACGTTTGGCATTAAAAAGTACAACAGTGCAGCTATAAAAAAAAAAAAAGAAAATAACTTTAATAAACACATCCCAATTGAAAGGATTATTTAAGTATTATATTAAAGTGTCCCATTAAGCTTTGACTGTGCGCATCACATAACTCAGTTTTGAATGGAAAATCTCTTAATAAAGAAAATACTAAAAATAAGACAATATAAGTAGGTTTCAGAGACTTTGAAATAATATTATATAGTATATAGACCATTAAAAGTTAGGTAAGGTAGACGATCCTAAAAAAATTTTGATCCACTAATATATAGAACCAATAAATTAAAAGAAGAAGTCGGCATTGACGCGACAATGTAAATTAATAGTTAGTGTATCTTTACAACTGTGTCAAAATAGAGTTAAAGATCTTGACAGGATATTTTCCAGTTCAATTTAACCTATGTTGGCATCATACCAAAATATGTCCATCAAAAAATAGACTCTGCTCGTAAGCAGTTGAAACTTTATTCACATTTTTTTGTAATTATCCGGTATAAATTTAACCCAAAAGAAGAATATTACGTTTGTAGTTGGATGATATAAGGACATACGTGATGAATCACATTTTGGACTTTATTTAAAGGGGTGTATAGCTTCTATTCGGTTAGATGTGGAAAAGACTTCATTGCCAATTTGAGGGTTCCAAAGACATGTTAAAGCTATTTTGAAAAAATCGAACCGTCTACTATATGTCAGAGCATGGTATGGAAATAATCCGAAATGCCAAAATTACAACAATAAAGAAAATTATGTTCTATGAAGAAAACTTTAGACCATAGTGACTGTTTCTTTTGATTCAGTGGATATTTTTTCACAGTGATTTAATTCCAGAACGTATTTGTCAGGCCAATAAGACCAATAACAATTATAACCTAGAAATCGACTAGAATATATAGAGTCAACTGTTGGATATTTTTACACAATAATGCATTATCGCAAAAAGCAATCAATTTTTGACCAAAAAGCCATTATTTTTATCGAACATACAGTGAGTATTCACATAATTTGGTTTCGTGCGGTTTTTGACTACTCCTGGAATAGATAATGACGTTGAAAGGAAATCCTTTCGATAAATTTTTAAACTCTTTCAGCGTTGTGTTAGAGCGGATGGAGACTGCTCTGAATAAACAGGTATTACAGAACGAAATAATAAATACTTTGTATTGTTTTTTGAGTTGAGTACTTTTAGATCTGGTATATATCACTACGATATAACATTATACGTATAACATTATACACATTATACAATGCATTATTGAAACTATATTCCATTGATTCTAATAGAAAGTTCTAAGGTTATTTATAATTTTTGGCACTTCTTCGGAAAGACTGTTAGATCAATATAAGATAATTAATAAGTGAGATAGAGTTACGAGTACCATGAAAACATTGTGTAAGTCACTTATATTGAAATCTATTCATAGAATGTATAAGTAAAAATTGCGTACATTTAAATTTAACAAAAACCTGCTGACTTTATTGGATTTTATTAAAAATTTCTTGTTTCTTGCTTTTGTAGATAAATTTTTGCTTTTAACTTTCATGGCTCAAGCAAGTGCTTTATTCTATTCTTGTCCCTGATAGGTTGCAGCCTCGTGCCCGCCACTTGAACCCAATCTGCGTCCTTTTATACGCTTGTGCATTTGAAATCTTTTGTGCTGCCAAAGCAAAGAAAATTGTTTTCATATATATAGTTTTCATTCAAATGCGCCTCGGTTTTTAAGGGTTTTTTTTCCGGGTTGAATTTTTTATGCTGCAAAACCCGCTGGCTATGCAAGCATTGATGGCTGGTTTCCGCTTACGCCATTTGGAAGCTATTTGATGTCTTTGGTGTTGCCACTTGATTTTTATGTTTTATTTCTGGCATATGCAGAGCAGCCAGCAAATTACAACTTGGCTGCAATTTCGTTGACACTATTTTTACTTTTGCTTCCATTTTATTTTTAGTGCTTCCAACCGCCTCATGCCTCATGCCTCATCAAGGACATTTTAAATTTTTAATATAATAGAATTTTTTGTCCCTGGTTTTTTTTTTTATGTACTATGCACTATGCAATGTTAGTTAGAGGTTAGGAGTTTAAAATTAAATTAAAACATTTTTATGGTAGTTGGATAGCTATAAAACAGCGCTTTTGATATTAATGAGAATGTTGATGAATTCACTAGATGGAATTTGTTGGCTTTTAAATTTTTTTCTAGTTTTTTTTAACAAAGAATAACTTAAATTAAAGATTTTGCAAATAAGTTCTTTAATTTTATATTAAATGTTCTTCTTTAGAACAACCAGAACAACGACGTAGTTAGGGGAGTGTAAAGGGGCGAATTATAATTTATTCATAAAATGAGGACCTAAACTTATATGCGATAGATCAATGGAAAAGATATGGATATATTAAGGCAGTTGTGTGCAGCAATAAGATTACCGCTTTAACAAAAAAAATCTTTAAATGTAGTCACCTGCCTAGTTTCTAGGCAACCCCATCACCAATATATTTTTTGCATTTAGTTGGAGTATTATTTTATACATTAATACGTTTTCTACACTGTGTTATGCTAACAATTTCAATACTTAAAAACAATATCCAGACCTATTTCAAAATCATAATCATAATCGTTATCATTATCATAACAAACCTACTCCAAACCTACTTTATGTCTTTACTTTTATACTCATTTGCAAATTAGTTAGTTAGTTAAAGTGGAGGGAGGCACGAATCTTCCTCAATTAGCCGGTTTGAGTCCACAATTCCTCGTAACAATGCGTCAAAAAAAGTCAAACTAGAATCAGCCAGAAACATTTATACAGGCGAGAGTTTGTCTAATGCTAATACTGGAGATATCGCTGTGTTAATAAATAGGGCCCCCAAAAACCTAAGCCTAGTTCTGGCCAAATCTAAACACAGACACAACAGGTGCTCATTAATGAGAGAAACAAAATAAATAATACCGAACCACCAGTTTGGGTTCAAAGGGCAATATCGACGATCAAACGAATTCATAGATTTCTTAAGAAATACATACCCCATTTCAGTGAAAAAAAAATATAACTCAACAATGTTTGTGGACATATCTCAAGCATTTGATCGTGTATGACATCAGTGACCGCTTTTTGCAATTAAAAAATGTTTACCTCTAAACTATATAATGTTTATGAAATTATATATTTCATAAAATACTGTTTTATGTAAACAATAAAATAAAAATGGTTTTTGGATTCTTACAAGGCAGAGTACTCCCTCTCTTGGAATTAAATATCCAAAATTAAATTAAATTATTCCAAAATATTTTTTTTTTAAAGATTACAGTCTAGAACTCTACGAGAAATGGTAACCGTTTCATGGTATCTATTTGCGTATTGTATGGATAACACCCAAATCCACGGACCTGAAAAGACCTCTGGTAAAGATGAAGTTGAAAACGTAGTCAAAAAATACCATTAACGTACACTTTCTATTCTCAAGTTTTTAACAGCCATAAAGTAGTTTCAATCTAATTACTGGACCCCAAAGTCCAGTAGTACTTCTATGATCTCTAATAGATATACATTAAAATTTCATCAAAATCGTACGAATTTGTCAGTCTGCTTAATTTCGGCTTTTTTTTTAAGATAATCTGTGTTTTAGTTTCATATTTTTTTTATTTATTCTTCAATTCAGGGATTTGCTCTGCGGGGTTTGTTGTAAAGTGTCAGTCTGCACCGTAACATATAAGTTTTTTTTTTATCATAATCAAGCATTTCGTTTTGTCTACAGATATCTTCATAGGTATCTTCACACACATTTTATGTCTATACTTTAAACTACTTGTAGAACTTAATTATTGAAACAGTATCTATTGTCATTTCTTAATCAATCTTGAATATGAGTTAACATAAGTTATTGACATTATTTTTGATTAGAATTGATATGCTTTTATTGGAATTGCACAAAATAGTAGAAAAATGTAATAAGGATCTATTGGACATACAATTTTTAATGTACAGCCTAAACCATTTGGCGCACACATCTATCGATGTTACATGGCCCACCGACAAGTGGGATAGATGATTTTTAAACACTGCAACTGCAACGGGAACATATCCCAGGACATCTTCCTACTTTCCAGCAAATTTTGACGTACCATGAGTAAGTTTTGCTGTCATGACACATAAATTTTACCAAAATTATTGCGACATGACACTTGCAACATTTCAGTTCCGTTTTGTGCATATCCGTGTCTCTGCTGCAACACATTTCCTGCATAATTTCTACAGCACGAGTCCGCAACTCCGAAACTATTTCAGCCAGGCCCCTGTCTAATGTATGAGGCAGGATGACAGCCAAATAACTTCCGTAATAGTGAGAAGAAATGAACCACAGAGGAGCTCGCTCGCAAAATTCATAATTTAGATTGTGAAATTATTAAAAAAAAGGAACTGTGAGAAAGGGAAGTGTCTACATTTGCTGCAACACTTTCCTACATTTTTATACATAGCTTTTTTATTTTTCATGTTTTTTTATACGTTTTAATATTTTTTAATATTAAATATTCAAAAACGTTATGTGCACATATATTTTCGGGACATGCACTTCTATGCTGCGGAGTGTGAAACTTGTGGATGCTGTAAGTTGACTTAAAAAATTTGCGAAATTCACTTACTGCATATGTCATCACAGCTTTGTGCTTGCCTTGACTTTCGGTTGTGATAACAATTTTTATCTACTTTTTTTCCTCATTTATTTATACTTAAACAATTTTTGAACACTTTTAGGAGGAAAAATTTGGCCCCAAAATATATGTGTTAGTCGAATTTCGTAGATTAAAATTACACAAGTTGGAAATTGTGAGGCAACCTAGTTTTTGATAAATTACATGCCTCAGCTGAGAAGATTATTTTGTTGGTTGGTTGGTTATGCTTCAGTTGTAATTATTTTGCAGAAAATTGTTGACAATTTTTAAAATTAGAAAAAAATTGTTATATTGATTGAAAAGAAAAAAAATAAATTTTATAGATTAAGCAAAATAATTTTTAAGATAATATTTATAATAAGATATATTGATCGAAGGTTTCACTCATTGCATTATTGAACTAAAAAAACTCACGTAGTAAAAATATAGCAATACTTTTCTTCAGTACCAAAATTCACTTTATTTATATAAAGGAAATATTATTACAGGTGTTCACGATCTCGAGTAAAGGACCTTGGTAACCAGGTAATATTTCAACAGTTAATTTTACGTCGACACGAAAAAGTATAGAAACCAAGTACTCATTTATGGCATTAGAAAAAGTATCCACATCTATTCCTTTTCTTTGGGCATCGAAAAAAATTTCGATAATACTCAGAACTTACTGGAAAAGTACCGATACAAAGTACTCATTTATAAAATAGAAAAAAACCATAGATATCACTTAGAACTCACTAAAAGAAGGTATCGATACCAAGTCTATTTTGTATGGACATCGAAAAAAGCATCGATATACTAAATTCTTTTTTCTGGGTATCGAAAAAAGCATTGGTATTACTTAATACTCACTGCAAAAATAAAAACACAAAGTACTCACTTATAAAATGGAATAAAACATAGGCATTATTTAGAATTCACTGCAAAAAGTATCGATACCAAGTTCCTTTCTTTGGGCATCGAAAAAAGTGTCGATAATACACAGAACTCACTGAAAAATAAATATCGATACAAAGTACTCAAACTCACATTACAAAATGCATAATTAATACTCAACACCCGCTGAAAGAGATGTCAATACAAAGTATTCATTTTAGCATAGGAAAAAACATCGAAAAATGGGTTTGTCACATTAATCTTCAAAGGATGTAAGGACATGGAGATATAGTTCCCAACCCTTTCAAAATCAATCTATTTATCTATCTAGTATTTTACTCATATAAAAGTATTTGCAAATCTAAAAAAGTATCAAATATTATATTTACATGTATATGTAGGTCTATCATAATATTTTATGTTAAAAAAATTTTTTCTCTACCGAATTCACTGATTTTCACTTTAATAATTTTTTACTACATAGTTCCTAACCTTTACTATTAATGTTAGTTGGTGTATAATCATAATAATGATCTCATACGTTTTTGGATTTAATGATTTTATAGTTAAAGTAACTTACCCTGCCGGATAAGCCAGCAAGCCGCTAATTGGTGACACATCCAGAGCTGCATTACTGCAAACTGTTAAACCGAGGACCTTTTTAAGTTTTATCTGAAATGTAAAGAATAAACAATTATTACAATAAATGTGTAAAAAAAATATTTTTATCTTATAATTATCATTATAGTATTTTTATAATTTTTTAATTTATAGAAAGGTTTTTCGAACAGTAGTGAATTACAACAACAAAAATTATTATTATATTATTTTAATTAATTCAATTTTTAACTAACCATCTTCAGTGGTCTTGAAAATAATTCTTGTATTCAATTATTTGCAAATAATTTTTTAAGACTATAAGTACTAGGCAATAAAGGATAACGTGCTGTGTTTATATTAGAACGAAATCATAAACCTACTATAGTTATTTTTGATGGTTAAACAGTGATTAATAAATTTGTTGAACTGAAATATAAATAGTAATCTAGATAAGTTATCATCATTTTCAGCGGTTCATCAACTTAATCAGTGATTGATTGGGACTGTTAATCTAGTTTGGACTAAAATTGTCTCTAGTTTTCTCCAGTTTGATAAGGGTACTATCTTTTTGGTGTTTTTCTTAGCGGTGCCGATCTATTACTGCCATAGATGTCATATTGTACATTTTATCAAAAGACTGCGCTTTTAATTTCACTTCCCTTAATTTTACATTTCCTCAAACTTAATAGATTGGATCAAGGAATTGAACAAACAGTTGGTGACAAGGAAGTGTTTTTCTTAGCGGTGCCGATCTATTACTGCCATAGATGTCATATTGTACATTTTATCAAAAGACTTCACTTTTAATTTCACTTCCCTTAATTTTACATTTCCTCAAACTTAATAGATTGGATCAAGGAATTGAACAAACAGTTGGTGACAAGGAAGTGGCAGCGATATGGACCGAAAGCGCTTGTTAGACTCAAGCAGAGTTACAATTTTAATTAAAGAAAGCTCTTTATAATCATGTGAAGGAGTTGATTTCGTCTCTAAGGTACCATTTGAAAATATTAAAACATTAATTTATGATGTTCTTTTGATATTAGATAAATTATTGGTTTTTTCAGAATTCATGTTCATAAAATTATTTACCTTAAAATTAGCAATTTTACAGAGACAAATAAACAAATAAAAGTAAGTAAAATTGTTAGAAAAAATATATAATTTATTAAAAAAAAAAAACTAAAAGTAATTTGTTGTTACTAATTTTTTTTTTGTTTTTTTTTTTGTTATGTAGTTAACTACAAGGTCACTTCAGTGCCGTTTTGCGCCAATTTTAATTTGATTTGTTAATTTACGTTTTTTTTTCAGTGTAATGTAAACTTTGTTATGGAAGAGGAGGAGTTGATGTCATCAGTACACTTCAAGTTAAAATTGCGTCTGGAAATGTTTAATTTCACACACGAGACGAGTACATATATTCGTATTTATATATAAGAATATAAATTTATATTTTTATAACTTTATATTTTTCAAAACTGTTTTAATTAGTGTGTAATTATTTGAAGTACAAAAATGTGCAAAATAATTTTTGTTGTGAGCAATGCGGAGATTTGACTGCGGATGCACATGATTTCATTCAGTATTTATTTTTGTTTTAAATGAGATACAGGTACAGGTATAGTAACAGATACAGATTCAGATTCAGATACAGATACATATACGTTCATACATTTCGCAGTTGCTATAAAAGCTGTAATTACCATTTTAATTTACCTTGATCTTGGATATTAAATGCCATTGAAGGTGGGTCTTTGAGGCGTGTGTAAAACTATGTTTGCTAAAAATTTGTGCAAACAGGTAGTAGTAATAGTAGTAGTAGTCGTAAGTCACCCTCGTTAAAAAAGTATAAATAAATTTATCACGCTCAAAACTCCATTGATGGATTGTTGCTTTTCGTGTATTGCGGGTGTGAAGTAGTAGACAGGCGTGAGGCGCGTACTGTCTTACTAAGTGCCAATAAAATTATTTAAATGCCCACAATCAAAATAGAAAACCATAGAGTTTTTTTTTTTTGTGATATATAAGTGTAAACAGCGGTAATTACCTTGAGATTTATATACCAATAATAATTTTTTTTAATTGTAGAACAATCTGAGTCAAGTTTGCGCAAAGAAATGTCATTACTCATTCATAATTTTCGTTATCTAAACATTGGTAATGGATTGGACTAAGAGTTCAAGTGTACCTTGATTTTAATTATTTTGTTTTTAAAATTATATTCAAAAGTTTTTGCAAAATTAATTGAAAACAGTAACTTTATTTTATTATTAATTTATTTAAATTAATAATTTATTTAAATTAATAATTTATTTTTTTTTTTATCTAAATTGCTTTGCAATTAAATGATGACAAAGTTTTTTAGAGGTGGCTTATTATACTATGCACTTAATTGGGTACCTAACCTCAGAGACAATTATTATATCAAACAGTTTTGATTTCATATTTGAAGTAGTTCCTTTAAGAAAAGATAATTATTCTTTCTTTAATTAAAATAAATAATTAAGAAATATATCAGCTATTAAAAGAAATTTAATCATACTGCAATATATATATGCTAATTACTTGCATATTTGATTAAAATATATGTATATTGATTATCACTAATGGGTGCAGTAAAGAAGTTGCGAAAATGATTAGAAACATCCGCTTAACAAGATTAACATTAGTTTATTCTGAGTGCTTGTAACTCAAAGTAAGAGTTGTTAGTCCCTAACAATACAATATGGCTCTAAACTTCCTTGTAGGCATCATGTAAGATGTCACAACTTTTCTACAAATCAATGGATTATGAAACCACCACTATTCTATTATTCCCGAGATGGAACCTTTTAGAATTTTTAAAAAAAATGCGTGCTTAGATTATAATTAGTGGAATTTGAAACCAGACTCTGTATATCTTAGTCCCAGTATATATTCACCATGTAATCGGAATAATATTTTTTGATTACTTTGAACTTATTTGATAGTTACAGCTGCGTTAGTTGAGCATTCAAACATTTACAAAATACAAAATACAAAATACAGAGTGCAAACAACTTACATATATTACTGCAAATAACCAAAGGGCTCGATGTATCTGCCTTAAAACTTATTTCTTCTGGACGTCAAAGTCAGGCATTTACAGAAAAAATTTACAATGTTTTTTTGTTTTTGTGGGTTCCTAATACTTCTGTAGCGAGGATTATGTGGAATACGCAGTTCTTTCGCATTTGTTCCTATACACCAATGATCGGAAAGAACTCCAGTAAGCCTTGCAGTGTTTACGAAATTTCTTTTAATGAGTTTCGAGGAACTAATTTTATTATAAGTAGGCCATGTTAACCCGGAAGTTGCATATGACTTATGTGTGCTTTCCATCTGTTATTGACAAGTTGAAGCAAGTAGAAGTAGTTAATTCTCTTAATGATCTCTAGGGTAATATAAAGCGATACTGTCAGCTTGATCGTTCCCTTCGATGTTCCTATGTCCAGGAACTCGGTTGAGGATTCAAGAGCTTTGATTGCTGCCTGGCAACACTACATTTGTTCTTGATGTGACTTGCAATTTGCCGACAAACTTCTCTAATTGCTAAAATTTTAGTCTAAAAAGCTGTGGCCTTATTAGGGAGCCTTAGAGAGTTTTTTTATGTATTCTGATGACGCCAGCCATCCAAAGTATTTTCTTTTTCATTCATTTCTTGAATGGAATATTGTCTGCATTTTTCTTTTAAAGTCTAGGCACGGATTCAGATAATCCGATGTCGTCCTATACAGACAGTTTGAAAGTGTACCTAGTATCCAACTGTGTCCATATGTTCGTTTCGACCAGATGCCTGTTGTTTTTAGCCTAACAGCGCTGTTACAAAATATATTTTTGATGTGAAAATCGATGGGCAGGAGGTATAGCATGACGTTAAAGTCATCCGAATGGTTGGTCCTTAAAGCTGCTGTGGCGCCAAAAGGATAAATTATTTTAATTTCAAGTATTTAAAACTCTTTTTGCGATCGAGTTACACGCTTTAATATATATGAAGCTGAAATCTACAGGTTGATACTTTATAACCAATTTAATAGTGGAATACGTATTTTAGAAATAATAAGGAGATTTAAGCCTATTGATAATTTAAACATTTTATTAATATCTTAACTTAAATATTGCTGAAAGTCAATGAACTTCTCGAACTATTAAGGACTGCTTTACAAAGCAATCCTCTTCATGCCCCATATGCACTATAGTTATCTCACATAGATAGATTTTTTTTTTGCAGTGTATTGCAATATTTGAATAACTTTGACACAATTTACATTATATAAAAGCAATAAAGTCATATAGCATAGCTAATATGCCAGTTTAACTATTTATAAATGTGTTATAATATTCGTATTAATTTAAATATTTTAAAATTCCTAAAAAATAAGTCAATTCCACTCGAACCCAATAAGAATTTGATATGCAAAATACAAGCTCATGCGGTTTGTGGAGCTCAGCACGGGCAGCGAAACGTTTTCATAAATAAGTTTTAATGTAAAAATTGTTATGACGCTGCCGAGATGATCTCAGCTCAAGTCTAAATATTTCAGACAAATTTTGTATCTTGTTTCTCTGCCTCCCTGCTTCTCTGCTCTGTTGTACAAAGAAAAACTTGTATCTTTATCTCGTGTGTGCGAGCATCAGCGGTTGTGGCGTCTACAGTTTCGCTTTCAAAATTGATTTGATATTGAAAAGAAGAGAAATATATTTATTTGTATTTTAATCTTGACTTGTGAATTGTTTAGCTTCCTATCGTTAATTGTGTATGAAATGAAAAAAAAAAAAAAAAAAAATATATGAAAAAAAAATGTCAATAGTAGTTGCGTTGTTGTTGTTGCTGTTTTTGTTATTAGGGGACTATTATTAAATAAGTATATATTGTTTGTGTTTATTTCTCTCCATCTATGTTTGCTTATAAAGGAAAAAAAAAAGATTGAAAATCAGACATGCTTTACACTTGTTAATGGCTTCAAATATTAGGTACTCACGCAATCTAAAGATAATCAATTTTGTATCTGTTTGTTTACATTCGATTGTAAGCGTTACATACGAATGTTTCT